TGTATTTCTTTTAACCCAGAATTATTTTAATATTAAAGTTATATTGTTTCTTTTAAAAAAAATCATACGAACTAGTGGTGGACGGATAACAGGATCATCATAGACTCCGGCAAAATGAGCCACTGTAGTTGATTCAACTGATGTGTTTACATATTCAAGTAGAGATGTTCTGACAGTATTACAAACCTCAAGGGAGGTTTTGTCTCTCAATTGATCGATATGGAGCATTAATACTGATGATACGTAATTTAATGCTGTCGGTACTTCTTGCCAATACGGTTTTGATTGTTGATTCACTATTTTGATAGTGTTAATGAATGATACTGGATTGACCATAGATTTAATTACAATATCCAAGTTTTTCCAATATCGTGCCAGTGTTAAGTAAATATCACGGTTAATTAATATTGTTGATGTAAATGTAGGCATATTGTTGATATAATCGATAGTGTGAGTAAGATGAACGACTGTAAAAAAGTCGTTCAAGTGTGATGTTCCACGTGGGCGTACAAATTCAATCATATAGATATGATTTTGATATCTTGTTAAAGCATGTAATAATGGGAATACCAAATCAAGGGAACTACGAATAAAACACAATCCAGGTGTTGACACAGGTTTACATAGAATTGAGATCAGAATTACGTTGCAATATATTTTGAATACTGTTTCTACTGAATCTTTTGTAATTGACGCATCACAAAACACCAAATTAACTAAAGATTTATAATCATGAACCAATGCTTGCACAGTTTGGAATTCAGACAAATCATCTTCAAGAAGATTTCTAGTTACACGTGTCATTATACGTCCAGCTGTTCCAGGATCATTAGTAGCAAGGGGAACAATTGGACAATCATGACTAACTTTTGTATTCCAAATCACATTTGTTTGTGCATAATGTTTTAAGAAGGCATACGAAGTTGAGCCAAGTCCATCACCCAGGAATAAAGCAGTTGATCGAACATTAGTATGTTGGTCTGCATTTGCAGAAATCGGCTTTATCAACCAATAGTTACACAAATCTATTATTCGGGTAGCTGCAGGAACAGTATCGCCATGAGTACGCATATAATGAGACAAGTTGATATTGGTTTCTTCGAAACGAGGTAATTTATCAACAGTAGTAGGATCAATTACTGTTCGAGAGATCATTGATCCACTGTAACAGGTTAATTTCATCCAATCAAAAGATGTCGAATCAATGATTTGATCACGTAAGAACCCTCGTAGGACACGTGTTCTAAATGTAAATATACCACCAAAATTATGCATAGTTGATTCTTCAAATTCTTTGAATTGTTCGTCTCGACTAGCGATTATATCTAAACAGACAGCTGCATCACTAACAAACCATCGAATTGGAGCTCATGCATTCTGTAAAATAAAGAATATTTTTCGTTTTTAAGAATAAAATTTCTGATAAATTATTTACCAATCAAGTTTGATAATTTCAACAAAAGCACTGCGGGTCTG